ACACCATTTACATTACTAAATTCGTGCACGAAAATTGTTTCTCACGCGATATCAGTGGCTGAGGCGGTAAAGAAATAATTTCAACTTCTGGAACCAGTAGTTTCTTTTAACCTTATCTCAATATTTAACAATTGATAAGTGGCCCGGATTTTTAATTCATTTTACTTATGAGAAAGAGTTAACGTTCAAAATTGTTCGTACACATGATTGAAAATATTTCTCATAATTTTAAAAGTGAATCATATGAAATAAAGTATTAAATAATAAACATTCACATGATTGTTAATTTATATCTTATACCACATCCTTACGAGTCCTTCCGTTATTTCTTCGTCCAGAAGTTTTGTATAATATGCTTTGCTGCTCGATATGAAGGCCAACATTGCTGAACAGTTTTGCAGCAAAATAAATCTTCTTGCACAAGGTACAGGACAAGAGAGGCTCCACATGTCAAATTCTATTTCCAGCTCTTGAGCAGTAGGGAGAATGTTTTTGGGGCATGGAGCCGAAGTCACCCTCATGCTTCAGTTTTACTCTAAATTCGTCTTCTCCATGTACACAAAACAAACTCCGTGTCTTTAGTCCGTAAGCGAACTATACCGACCGAGCGACCACCACTTCTCGGCGATATTAGTTCCAACTTTTGTGGATGGAGGGTGTTGCGTGGTCAGCGCAACGGATTCCCACGGCCGTTAATCTCGGTTTTCTAGACCGAAGCCGCTACTTTTCCATCCAAGTAGCTCCTTAATTATCCTCACGAGGCTGAGTGGACCCCGTTCCAGACGCACTACTACTCCGAAAATCTGGCAGCGCAGGAAATCGAACCCGGACCTCTGGGTCTGTAGCCAGGAATTCTGACCACTAGACCACAGAGGCGGTCCCTCCATGTACACACACAGCCTCAATATCAACTCGAAGAATCGTGTTTGAACTATGTAAATCTCACTTTGCATTCCGCTTTTTCTTTGCCGTCTGTGTGCAACGTCGGTTAATAACCTCTCGTCGTTTCTCTACGTGTTTTGGCCTAACCGACCACCATCACATGTACAGGCTGCTGTGAGAGTCCTTCATCAAAACAACCCGTACAGCGGCCGAGGAGTGAAGCCGATCACTCAACCTCCTCTAGTTCCGAGGTTACAAATGACGGAGCTATACCTCCACTCCCACACACACACACATTAATGGCGTACAGCGGTGGTTATGAAGAGTGCTGTCTTCTGGGATATAACGCCATTCATAGCTTTAAAAGTAAACCGTCGTTTCAGAGGAACATATCGCCTCCATCTTCAGGGTAGAACAGTAAGTCACGCAAACGATAAGTAGAACTCATAGATAGAACGATAGTCAATTTAGTCATCTGTTCTTATTGCTTCCTTCATACTGGTTTCTTTGGTTTATTCTTCGACCTGAAGATGGACGCGATATATTCCTAGCGAAACGTCGGTTTACTTTAACAGACTACAGGACGTTATATGCCAAAAGACAGAAATGCTCAGCTAAAAATGATTCTGAAGTAAGGAGAACATTAAATTGAGCAAAGGTTTTGAGGATCGAACTATCCCCCCACCCCCTATAGAAACCAAATATTAGATGTGTCTCTGACATTAAGGGAGGAACATAGACTGAGGGTGTTTGAGAACAGGGTGCTGAGGAGAATATTTGGGCCGAAGAGAGATGAAGTGACAGGAGGTTGGAGAAAACTACATAAGGAGGAGCTTCACATAAATGCAATACATACTGTACTAAAGTTACACTGGAAATAGATTCCTAGAGAATGCTCACTGGGGCATTACTCTCCCTGAAATGTTCTCTTATTAGTATTTAAGCCTTAGATTGAGTATTTCACAAGATGTACTTATAGTCCTTAGTATGGGCCGATTGTACAAATAAACGGAAATATATAAAAAAAAGTATAATTAGAATGATGAAGTCATGGAGGCAGCTCATGTAGCACCAATGGGGGCGAAGAGAAATGCATATAGGATATTGATTAGAAAGTCAGAAGGAAAGAGACTCCTAGGAAGACCAAGACATGCGTGGGTGGATAATATTAAAATGGATCATAGAAAGATAAGATGGGGTGTTATGGACTGGATTGATCTGGCTCAGGATAGGGACCAGTGGAGGGCTCTTGTGAACATGGTAAAAATCTTCGTGTTCCGTGAAATGCTCGGAAATTCTTGTATAGCTGCACAACTGGCAGTTTCTGAAGAAGGGCTCAGCTCAATGAAGTTACTTCTTTTTTTTAATTCGCTTAGTGGGGGGGTGGAGTCCAGCTGGGTCTACTCGGCACGGCGGCCACTGATTGGCCTATTGTAGCCTGCCCCGGGTGATTATGATGATGGAGAATTTGGTGGAATGAAGATTGGTAGGGGAAACCGAAGTACTCGGAGAAAACCCGCCTCAGCGCCACTTTGTCCACCACAAATCCCACTAGACCGGACCCGGGATCGAACCCGGGCCGTCGCGGTGGGAAGCCAGCGACTATCCGCTTGAGCTATGGCGCGGCGTATAAAGTTACTTAGTATAAAATTAAAATGGAGCGAGCGGGGATTTAAACCCCCTAAACTAGTGCAGTAAACACGCCCTTAGGGTATTTCCTCCCTCCTAAGTCCAGGAATATTACTTACCGTGGTGCAATTATGGGAATGTTTCTTGAAGACCATTTCAAGTACCCAGCCTGCATTTTTCCCGTTACTTGTGTTACGGTGGTCTGGAGGTGGGGGAGTTGTGCTGTATGAAGTGACAGTTGCTCGCAGGAACTCCGACTGGAACAGCATTTCAAATGGGTATGTTTAGTGTGCTTTGCTTTGTTGTTTATTCAATTTCCTTTTTACTGTGTTTAATACAGATTAGGAATTCGTACATTGTTACTGGAAGCAAAAGTCACTACGATTATACAAATATACATAAACCTCACGAATTTGGCATATTTTTTATTGAAAATATTCAGAAAATTCTAGGGGATAAAATGAATCGTCTATTTTTCTTTATATTTTAATCCAATTGCTTTTAATGAAACACTTTCTCTTATTTTGGGGGGAATATATGCTGCATGTATTTGAAAAGAAATTTTTCAAGAAAATACAGAGTTTTTCAAAATTCCTGTTATGGTTTCTGTGGGCTATAAACGTAAACCCAGACAATAATTTAGAATCACTCTATATCTTGTTCCGACAGTAGGATTGAAATGTGAAATAGGGTTGTTTTATAACAAGAACGTTTGAAGGCAGACAGATCACGCTTTTTGTTGGTGCAATTAAATCAAAATGAGCGAAGTTTGTTTCACAATAAAATGGAATTCTTGAAAGCGGAAAGCAAATATTGTTCCATAATGCAGGTCGCTATAGAACCTTCATCCAGTTGAATTTTAATAAATGCTGTATAACCTGAATTCCATAAATCGTATGTGTTTCTCGAGTGTTCTAGCGCATGACTAACACGAGTTTGAAGTCAATATACGTGCTGTCTGAATAGCAAACGTTTTGATCATAAGGACTGCCCGAATTCGAGCAGTTCAAAAGAATGACATCGGGACATCATGCTCCTTAATTATCCAGTAGAATTTTGTCACGCGGAAAATAATGTTTATACCCGCGGTAGCGTACTTGGTTGAGGCACTGTGCTACAAGCTGGAAGATCGTGGGTTCGAGTCCCGATGAGGTGGATTTTTCAATTGACCTACCCTTCCAGCCCCACTATGGCCCTGGGGTAGACTCAGCCTCTTAACAGAAATGAGTACCAGGAAGATTCATGAGCGGCAAAGGGCGGCCGACGCGTAAGGCTGACAACCTTACCGCCATCTGTGAGCCGAATGTATAGAGAAAATGTGGGAACCTCAACGTCTCACAACCCTATGGGCCTTCAATGCCTGTTAGAGAGATAGCTTTACCTTTACCCGATGTTATCGCTATATCAAATTGTCCCCCATAGTCGATCAGTCGATAATAACTGTTTCGAAAGATTGGAAAAAATATATCATTAAAGGAATATGTACTTAGTGCATTCCAATCTTCCGAAAATATCGAAATATACTAATATGTCGCTGTTAAAATTGCCAGATTATTTGTTAACACCTCGCGTCCGTTGTGGAATGACTGACTGACTGACTGACAGACCGACAAACTGACACAAAATATCGTTGACAGTGGGGCAGACTGACTGCCTGAACGGGCCAACAAACAGGTTGAATGAATGAAGAGTTCTATCTTCCGGGATATAACACCTAGTAGTTCGTTGATAGTCAACCGACGTTTCGGAGAAACAAGACGCCTTCATCTTTAGGGTCGAAAAATAAGCCAAGCAAGAAACCAGCGTGTAGCAGGTAGCAAGCAAAGAAAACTGGCAGACACGGCGCTATATCCCAGAAGACAGAACTCTTCATAACCACCGCTGTGAGAACCTCAGATCCTGCACAACGCTATACCCCAGAAGACAGAACTCTTCATAACCACCGCTGTGAGAACCTCAGATCCTGCACAACGCTATACCCCAGAAGACAGAACTCTTCATAACCACCGCTGTAAGGACCTTAAACTCTGCAAATGGATTTGCTGTTTTCTCACCGTCCGACTGCGCGAGAGACAGACTGTCTGCTCTTGTCAGTGAATGTATTGACCTATAGAGACATAGAGGGCAGTTTAAGAAATATGCTGTCTAAAGAAGATGCCATACAAACTGGATATTTTAAGCCTGTCACGTTTCATTTTCGCTGTCATATACTATTTTAATATTAATAATAGAGGAGGAATAAGGTACGCCGCACACCGGCTTGCGTCAAGACATGTAGCAGTCAAGACACGATGTCTGCAACATGATGCAAAGAAAGGAGCACAGTTGAAACGAATGAGGTTATGAAAACCGCCGCACACCGGTCTGAATCATGATGACGTATTGACGCAAGCCGGTGTCCGGCTTACCTATGAGTGTATGTCAATGAGAAACCTTACAAACTTTAAGGCTTAAAATATATTCACTAAAATTATTAAATTTGTTCCCAGATACAGACAAGACAGTTATGCCAGCTGATGGTGAAGTTCCGAGGGCCGAGTCTGCAATCCTTGAAGGCCATGAGGAGGGTCATCTGAAGCAAGCAGAAAAGCCACTCCAAGATACAGGTGAGAGTAATTTCAATTCGTTTTAATTTCCTTCTTTTTCTTCTATATTATTTATATATTTCTCGTTGTTTTCGTGATTATTCCTCCTCTCTCTTCTAGTTCCGCACCCCTTCATCTCACATCGCTTTTTATTCTATTCTGAAACTCCATTTATTCAAATATTTCCCGTTGAGGAAGGTTGGGGGAATTTATGTGAAGCTAATAACCTCATTCTATACGGTAATTTAAGTAATTTCACCTAATAGGATGTTCCTCGCCTGACCACTGTGGAGGTACTACTTCCAGGTTCGGCTGTCTTAGCACAATTCTCGCCGATCACAATGGCTGTCTTCGCCCGCTCAAACGCTGGCATCTTGGGTTCGAATCCCATCACACTTGAGGCATGGATGTCTGTGTGCGTTTATTCTGTGTTTGTGCTGTCCTGTGTGCGGGTAACGGCCTTGTAACAGGCTGATCCCCCGTCCAAGGAATCCTACCGAATGTATAAAAAGATAAAAAAAGCGTCCAAGGTCAAACAAAGGGCCCTAGAGTCATAGACAGACAGGTGGGCAGGCAGGCAGGCAGGTATGTAGGTCGGTANTTACCGGTTTTTTTCGATATGCTAAACAGAACTCTATAAATAAAATGATACATGTTAATTTGACCGGATTTCAGTTCAGGAAACGCCTTCTCGAATGCTGTTGAACGTAACAGAGTTGTAGGAGTATAAACATGCGTTTCAAAGGGACATGTACTGTACGATTATTTGAAAGCCCGTCACATATCCCCCTGCAATAAGAACACTTTCCCCGTGTCAATTGATAAGGCGTGCGCACACAGGGTTATTTCAGAATAGCTGCAGCAAATCGCTTAACAGCTGCTGTAAAGCGAACTCAACGCGTTAGCAACTGTCGAATTGCCAATGTAGGATTGCCGATCACGGTAGCCGAGCGGTCTAAGGCATGCACTGTGTTCGCTGGCTCGGAAGCCGGGATCGTGGGTTCGAATTCCCACACAAGGCATCGATGTTTGATATGTGTACGCGTTTATTCTGTGTTTGTGTTGTCCTGTGTTGAGGTAGAGGCCGTGCGACGAGCTGATACCCGTCCGAGGAGTCCTACCGTCTGTAGAAATGATCAGTGAAGCTGAGAAATCAGCCCTATGCTCCGAAGTGGGAGCGAGAAGAAGGGAAAGTAATGTAGGAGTATTACATGTTCAGTCAGTCTGATCCTTCCTCGATTACCCCGAGCACTCGCGGAATAATTTGACGCTAGTAGTGTGTGCCTCTTCCCGCCAGACATATCGAACTATTTGCGGCAACCTCGCATATAATCTCCCGCTGGTTAATTGCCAGTCTAAATTAAACTAAACGGGCGCTTGAAGTCACAGGTCAGAAATTACAAATACAGATACAAATAGACGTTACTTCATATTCTTCAAGTACGTAGAACTGTGATGCATCGAAGTCATATGCTGCAATGAGATCCAGGTTAACTGGGTTTTTGGACTTTGTCCATCGTCTGGTGTTCTAAACGACACAAGAAACGCAACGTCTCGGAAACCGTATCTGCGTCCGTCCTCAGGTGAAGTGTGGGGGACACCTACTCTCTTAGGTCCGTTAAAGAGTGTCCAGTGACTGAGATAGGTGTCTCCCATCCCTCACCTGAAGAAGGAAACAGATCTGGTTTCCGAAACACAGTTTTCTTTCGTGTATTTTAGAATACGGGGTGATGGATAAGTCCAAAAACCCAGTAATTTTGAGTATTATACACCATCGTCACTTGAGTATTATACACCATCGTCAGAACCGTTTAGAACAGCCGTGTCCAATGCGGCGCCCGTGGTATATTTTTCTGGCGCCCTCCGTAATCACATATAATTGAGCCGATTTTTAATATTAATTCAAATTGTAAGACAAGAGACATTTTTGAACGTCTGAGTACTGTTAAATATTTTCGAAAAATTGTATTATTATTATTATTATTATTATTAGTAGTAGTAGTAGTAGTAGTAGTGTGTGTGGTGGCGCCCGCACCTCCATAGGCATCAATGAATTGTGCCCGAGTACATAAGAACGTTGGACATCACTGGTTTAGAATCTACGTCAATAATGCTATGCTGAAATATTAGGTATTCGAGAATGTTTCAAGTTAATGAATTCAGTTCTCTTACATGAGAGATTTCTCTTCTTCTGCGGGCGCTGCAACCCATGATGAATCCTTGGCTCTTTTACGATTGTTCTCCATTGGTCATGACCCTGTGATTTTCGTCTCCGATCCATAACCCCCAATCTACGAGGGAGAGACAGTAAATAGGTCACAAATGTATATAAAACGTAAAACATTTGATAATGGAACCTGAAAAAGAAAGCATATATTTCGCGACCTATCCTCCACCAACACTGATACACTTGTCCCATCGTTTATCAGTGAGTTGAAACCTGCAGCAGAAGAGTCTTTTGGTTGTTGTCTCAGTCACTTCCGCACCTCCTTTTCAACCTCTTTGTAATCAGCGAAACGTTTGCGAGCCAGATCTGAACCGCTTTACGCGGCAAACACTTCCCACTTTAGACAGAAAACATTTCTTTATGAATATCATTTGCATTGAACCCTTTTGTCCATAAAACACACAACAGAACGCTGCTCTTCGGTAGTATACGAAGCATGGTCGCCATATTGACAAACAAGCCTCTGAACATGCGTATCTGCCACATAGGCGGTCATGAAGCTGGACTGTGCTGCTACCTAGTGATACACATAGAAAACTATTACGTACATTACAGCTGTTTTACTTCCATCTGTGACCTTATTTATTGACTCTACCTCGTACGTAAGAGATTGCATTAGTTTTCAAGCTTTTATATTTTAATCATTAGGTATACCGCAGAGTTCTAGAAGCGTGAAGCCCTCTACATACGATGTCAAACATCTACAAGAGCTGTGTGATGAACGACAGAGAAACTTACTTGAACGTAATCTGTATATGCATGAAATATTTGAAGATCTTGATGCAACTCTACATTCTATAACAGTCGCGGACCATGGAATTTCAGGTGAGGCTCAGATTGGAAGAGAGCTGGCTACGACATCTGTTCCAACATCGAGCTTAATAAACGGACCTTTTCCTGACTCCTTACGACGACTGATCGAAACCCTTAAAGCAGAGTTCGATTCTCGCTTGTGTCGGAAAATGATTAATTTGGGAGTGACTGACATAACTGATGACCCAGTTCCACCGCCAGGCACGTCGAGGGGATCACCAGAGAAAGCGGTGAGAGGGAACAGAGAGCCGTCACGTAGCCAGGCTGGCCACAAGGACAAACAATCTAAAGGTCAAAGTGGGCGGTCTGCTCCCAAGAAAAGAATGACACGTAAAGAACGTAAAGGCAGTCAGGATGTAGGGACTCCTTCCTCGTCTTCTCTCTTATTTACCTTAGAATTGGTTAAAACCTGTAACGAACTGACGTCCTTGTGCGATAAGCTGATTTCTGAACAACGGAATATCAGAACCACTCTTCTGACAGTCGCCAGTAGAGAATCAGGCTGTGCCGGGTCATGCTTTTATCTCGCTGATGTGTATTTCTATATATCAACATTCTCATCCCAGATGCTGTCTGCCATGAGAAATATAGTGGGATGTTTTTCAGTCATGTGTTTAACACAGATCCAGTCCAGATTGTTCATAAACACAATCAGTGCTGTCACGACTTTCACAGTTCTTTTGGAAAGGAACTTCAAGAATTTATATAGACAATATATTCTCCGTTCACTACGAGGCGAGGTTTCTGCACAACCCGGTAAGGCCATGGAGAGATTTGAGGAGGTCAGTCCGTCCACTCAGAGGTCTATAGAAGCCGGCCACTCCAAAAAATCTGAGGAAGCCGGCCACTCTAAGAAGTCTGAGGAAGCTGGCCACTCCAAGAAGAAGCTAGAGGAATCCGGTCACTGTAAGAAGTCTGAGGAAGCCGGCCACTCTCAGAAGTCTGAGGAAGCTGGCCACTCCGAGAAGAAGCTCGAGGAATGCGGTCACTGTGAGAAGAAGTCTGAGGAAACCGGGCGCTCTAAGAAGTCTGAGGAATCCGGTCACTGTAAGAAGTCTGAGGAAGCCGGCCACTCTAAGAAGTCTGAGGAAGCTGGCCATTCCGAGAAGAAGCTTGAGGGAGTCGGTCACTGTAAGAAGTCTGAGGAAGCTGGCCACTTCGAGAAGAAGCTTGAGGATGTCGGTCACGCTAAGAAGTCTGAGGAAGCTGGCCACTCCAAGAAGAAGTCTGAGGAAGCCGGCCACTCTAAGAAATCTGAGGAAGCTGGCCACTTCGAGAAGAAACTAGAGGAATTCGGTCACTGTAAGAAGTCTGAGAAAGCCGACCACTCTAAGAAGAAGTCTGACAAAGCCGACCACTCTAAGAAGAAGTTTGAGAAAAGCGGCAACTCTAAGAAGAGGACTGAGGAATCCGGCCACTGTAAGAAGTCTGAGGAAGGTGGCCACTCCGAGAAGAAGTTTGAGAAAAGCGGCAACTCTAAGAAGAGGACTGAGGAATCCGGCCACTGTAAGAAGTCTGAGGAAGGTGGCCACTCCGAGAAGAAGTTTGAGAAAAGCGGCAACTCTAAGAAGAAGACTGAGGAATCCGGCCACTGTAAGAAGTCTGAGGAAGCCGGCCACTCTAAGAAGTCTGAGGAAGCTGGCCACTCCGAGAAGAAGCTTGAGGAATTCGGTCACTGTAAGAAGTCTGAGAAAGCCGACCACTCTAAGAAGAAGTCTGACAAAGCCGACCACTCTAAGAAGAAGTTTGAGAAAAGCGGCAACTCTAAGAAGAAGACTGAGGAATCCGGCCACTGTAAGAAGTCTGAGGAAGCTGGCCACTCCGAGAAGAAGCTCGAGGAATGCGGTCACTGTGAGAAGAAGTCTGAGGAAACCGGGCGCTCTAAGAAGTCTGAGGAATCCGGTCACTGTAAGAAGCCTGAGGAAGCCGGCCACTCTAAGAAGTCTGAGGAAGCTGGCCACTCCGAGAAGAAGCTTGAGGAAGTCGGTCACTGTAAGAAGTCTGAGGAAGCTGGCCACTCCGAGAAGAAGTCTGAGGAAGCCGGCCACTCTAAGAAGTCTGAGGAAGCTGGCCACTCCGAGAAGAAGCTTGAGGAATTCGGTCACGCTAAGAAGTCTGAGGAAGCTGGCCACTCCAAGAAGAAGTCTGAGGAAGCCGGCCACTCTAAGAAATCTGAGGAAGCTGGCCACTTCGAGAAGAAACTAGAGGAATTCGGTCACTGTAAGAAGTCTGAGAAAGCCGACCATTCTAAGAAGAAGTTTGAGAAAAGCGGCAACTCTAAGAAGAAGACTGAGGAATCCGGCCACTGTAAGAAGAAGTCCGAGGAAGCCCGTCACTGTAAAAAGGCTGAGGACGCCGGTCACTGTAAAAAGAAGGCTGAGGAAGCTGGACGCTCTAAGAAGCAGGCTGAGGAAGCAGGATACTCTAAGAAGCAGGCTGAGGAAGCAGGACACTGTAAGAAGAAGGCTGAGGAAGCAGGACACTCTAAGAAGAAGGCTGAGGAAGCAGGACACTCTAAGATGAAGGCTGAGGAAGCAGGACACTCTAAGAAGAAGGCTGAGGAATCCGACCACTGTAAGAAGCAGGCTGAGGAAGGCGGCCATTCCAGGAAGATGTCCGAGGAAGTTGGACGCTCCAGTGGCAAGTCTGAAGAAGCCGGTCACTCGACACGTTGCAAGGAAACTGGGAGAGAGGGGCAACTTTGTGCAACTTCTCAACAACTTGATACATTAATTGAGCTGTTACACGCGGCCTGCGGGGAACTACGACACGTCCCCGAGCCACAGGGAACATCTTCATCGACATGTGCACCACGCTACGAGAGAGACGAGCATGAACATTTTATGAAACAGAAATGCTTGGAACTTGAGATGAAACTGACCTCGATTGGGGAAAGGATCCTTTCCCTGGCAAGTATCATGAGCGAGCTGCATCGCAAAAATGAGTTAAACCTATAACTTCTGTTTCACTACTGGTAGTTGCAATGGCACCGAGACATGTATCTTATTCTCTTATTTGTGACGTAATTTCTTCCGTGCTTGGTGGAAGAATTTGAAACTTCTTACAAAGACTTGAATCACGAAATTCCATAGTGAAATTGTTTTAAGATTAAGTTTTTAACACTGAGAATTTTAAATGATTCGAACTCATTTCTTTTAAAAGTACAGTGTGTTAAGATGCATAATAACACATAAGTGATTTTTAAAGTTTCACAGAGTGCTGCTCGTAGATCAGTATACGGAAGTGACAGATGATTAGCTGAGACGATGTATCAGGCTCGTGTTCCATATTACATGCGAAAGTGAAAGACATTCTTGCAGAGATAATATTTTGTGGCTATTTTAATAAAAGGTACCATTATGAAACAGTGTTTACTTCTCAGTATTTGTACTCCGCCTCTGTGGTCTAGTGGTCAGAGCTCCTGCCTACAGATCCAGAGGTCCCGGGTTCGATTCCCGGCGCTACCAGATTTTCTGAGAAGTGGTGGGTCTGGATCGGGAAAACTGAGGAGTTACCTGAATGGAAAACTAGCGGATCCGGTCTCGAAAACTGAGATTAACGGCCGTAGGAATCCTTTGCGCTGACCACACGACACTCTATATCCGCAAAAGTTGGCACTAACTACGCCGACAAGCGGCGGTCGCTCGATCTGTATAGTTCGCTTGCAGACTAAAAGTCATGGAGTAGTATTTATGTAACTCCAGGATGCAGAGTCATTCTTGAGAGTCAATGGCTCTATATTATTTGATTTGCAGGGACAGTCTTGATAGTGCAAATTCTTGTTGTGATTGTCTACTGCTCCTGCAAATTGAATCGTTTACCAGTACATCAGGATGCTGAAACATAATATGGCTTATAGTTGGCTAGAACACTCCCCACCTTTTACATATTGTTGTGCCGCTGGGGGTTACTGCCGGCCCTGACCCGTGGAGCACATTTGGATACCTCGTACTCAGTCCAGGGGACAAAAAGAAACATACAAGTAACATTCCAACTAATAACGAAAAATGTAAGTAATTAACTAAATAAAATGACTGCAGCAATCTTTGGATGACAACTTCGACCTGCAGTAACCTGTGAAGTCTACTTGACGTTTACAAGCAGTGGCTCGAATACGGGCAAGTTACTCCCTCAGCAGAGCAGCGTGAAGATGAGGCACAATGGCGTCATTTCGGCTCCGTCCAGCGCAGGTTGTGGCAAACCCTCCACCTAAATTACGATGGCGCGCAACTGACTGCTGCTATTATTATTATATTATTTCCGGTCTAGAAAACCGAGATTAACGGCCGGGAGATCCGTTGCGCTGACCACGCGATACCCTCTATCCGCAAAAGTTGGCACTAACTTCGCCGACAAGCGGCGGTCGCTCAGTCGGTATAATTCTACTGCAATTGGGTGTTCACCCGGTGGAAGTAGATCTTACACTGATACAGACAAGGGAACAATACAGAACAAAGTACATACAATAAACAAGGTACGCGCAGTGCAAATCCAAGCATATAAAGTCACACAAGGGCACGTAATTTTGTTCGTTTCATTTTCTTGAGGAACGCGCAAATTCTCCCCCACTCGGGAAACCGCCCTGGAAATGACGGCTACCATTGGTTGTCGTCCTCCCGTTCTAAAACTTGCCCATATATAGTTCACTCAGCTTGTACGCATTTCTCCTACAAAGACGCACTTGGGAACGGCTGACTGACAGATGATACATTCTAGTCTGATCTTATCCCCTTTCCCGTCGGCCAACCGTTTGGCGACAACTATTTCCCAAATATACAAAAAACAAACTCTTTTTTTCAAAAACCCCTTGGTACAACAAAATTAAACCTGAAGTTTCAGTAGTTCTCCAGTTCAGGGATTCGGGCAGCTTCTTCTCACGCAAGCCAGCAAGGTTACCGCTTGAAACTACGTACTTGTATCACTGCTCAAATGAAATGGGTATCTCTCCTCTGTAGTAACCATCATCATTCACGGAGCTGAGCCCTTCTTCAGAAGCCGCAGCTACTCGAGAACTTCCCAGCATTTTATGGAACCCGAAGGTTCATTACCGTGTTCACAAGAGCCCTCCACTGGTCCCTATCCTGAGCCAGATCAATCCAGTGCATACCATCTCATCCTGTCCTGTCTCTCTGAGATCCATTTTAATGTTGTCCACCCACGTACGCCTTGGTCTTAGTGGTCTCTTTCTTTCAGACTTTCCCACCAATATCTATATTCATTCCTCTTCTCCCCCATTCATGCTACATGCCCTGCCTATCCTTTCAATCTCGACTTGATCATCCTAATTATACTTGGCGAAGCGTACAAGTTACAAAGCTCCTCATTATGCAGTTTCGCTTTATAGTAATAATAGTAATAATAATAACAATAATTCAGTTCTTGCTTTTATGTACAGACTTAACAACTCAGAGACCAATGTTTAAGTCAGCAGAAGTGTGTAGAAAGAAACAACAAAAACTTACAAAATACAAAATAAGGCGATTTATATAATAATAATTCCATGGAAAATCTAAGTTATCATTGACAGGTGAGGAAAGTAAAATAAGTACATTTGCAATGGTTATATCATTATGCTGCAAGAAAGGATTACATACATATACCACTATTAAATATGATTCGGGAAAGCGTTCTTGGCTCCGCATACGTCAGCGTCCCTGAAAACAACATTAGCAGCTGATGCACATCTAGCAGAGGGACAATGTTTACATGATGAGCAGACGTCGATCAAAGAAAAGGCTGATGTACCGAGCAGGAATTCGGAGACCACCGATTTCCAAAACAGAAGAACAGAATTTAGAACCAGGGTAAACTTGAATAAGAAAGAGTCCATCGAGGTGATGTCTCCTCATACGTAGAACGTACAATTTTAACGCCTTCAAAGCAAGAGAATGGCAACAATGGCCTTGAGTTTAACGCGACCACGAACTGAGTTTATATATATGTTATGCCCCAAAGGTTATGTACAGTTAGATATGTTTTGCGATTAATTTCGAATAAGTGTTTTAGACGATAAGATTAAGAAATAGAAATAATGGAATGTACCAGGAAGCTGGAGTTTGCAAAGAAGTGTAATGCAAGTAGTTAGGTAATAGCTTTGTAATCAGAATGTTAGCACGACAGCGTAATAACGCTGACACTAAAGAAGAGGCTATATGAAGTAGAACAGAAAGAACTAGGGCATTAGGAAATCGCTGAGTCGGAAAGGGCGGTAGACGAAAGCGCAACCCCCCTTTCGATAAACAGCCAATGAGAGTAGGCCACCCCAACCAAAATCACGTCAGGATGGGCGGGTGGATACACCCCTGGAACCCAGCGAGTCAGCAAAAAGAGAGTACAAAAACACTAGAGGAATCAATCAGGAAAAGCTTAATTGTCAACAGAGTGCGGCCGAAGGCTATCGCCGAGAGAGGGATAGCGCTGAGTAGATGTTGGTTGGTGGTGTGTGCCTGCTTCATCAGTACAAGTAAGTGGACCTACTTCATATAAGCCATGAACATTAAGTGTGATAATATTAAAGTGCAACTGCCAGGGAGAGAAAGTGAGGACCAGACGGGCTAGGCTTAACAGAGAAAGAGAGAGACAGAGGTATAGGATACCCGATAGCCGGGTGACAGGTGTAGAACGAATGTCTGTACCACAGGTTTCATAACCTAAGTGAAATGCGAACCCGACAAACATCGGCAAATTGTGTATATATTGTGTATATAGGGATCTAGGAGAATAGAATAGAAAAATATGGTGTAACGTTAATGAACCTATTTTTCCCTCACGTGCGAATCCGTCTCCCTGACGACCCCGGCATCCCCCCCAAATCCTTCAGGAGAATTACAAACTCAAACCAAGGCGGCAGATACCTCAGTGATTAATGACTTTACCTAGCTCCCCCCCCCCTTGTGGCAGAACAATAGGTGACAGCGGTGGGAGTAGCCAAAGAGAGTTGTTCTGACGGAGTGTATTAGTATTGTGTTTTACCCAACCCTGTCGCCACGGCATAATAATATATATCTGTGTGTTCCGTATGGTTCTCACAGCATTAACCGGTTGGGCTTTGTAGCGGAGACGTAATGTGTTTCCTGTGAGGTACGAACTTAATTTATATATATCTGTGTGTTCCCTATGGTTTTCACAATAAACAGCCTTTGTTTCCCCAAACAGCATTAACCGGTTGGGCTTTCTAGCGGTGACGTAAAGTGTTTCCTGTGAGGTGCTGTGAGGTTATTGCTGTCTATTATAGTATTAATAACAATCAAAAATCACTTTTGTATTAATTTTGTTATAGTTTGAATGTTGGCGCCTTATATCTCCATATTGTGTAGAGGGCGCTCTTTTCCATTCTTTTCGACAGTCTTACAAAGAAGGAAGGGCGCTGTGAATTAGTGATAGCAGTGAGAGTCTGACGCTGCCTGAGAGTTTTTGTGTTCAACCTTCTTGTGATAAAAAGGGACATTACCCTGTCTCGTTCTTTGTGATTTTCTCTATAATTATTACTGTGATTAAACTGGTAATTTGAACTGACAATGTTGTTTGTTTATACTGCTTCCATCGTCTCAACAGGTTATGGGCCCAGGAACATTATTATAGATTTACCAGTGTGGTGTTAGTTGTGTGACTAAAATAGAGAAAGGATAAGTGAACAAAGAATAACGACCAACATGGAGTCTACAATTCAGATGCCCAACTGAACAATGAAAATTGGAACACTTGGAAGTTTCAAATCAAAGTAGTTCTAACTGCGAAGGATTCTTTTTAATATGTTGATTGTACAAAAGAAGCTCCTACAGAAAGCGCTCTGTTGTCAACTTGGAAAAAGGCAGACGCTCGAGCTCAAGAAGTGCTCATCACCCGAATGGAGCCTATACCTCTTACCCATATAATGAACTGCACTACATCTCGTGAAATGTGGAAGAAACTACAGTCTGTATATGAGAGGGAATCAAACATTAGTGTTCATTTGCTGTACCAACAATTTTACTCATTGAAATTTGAGAATAACATGAACACCTATTTAACAGCAGTAAACAACCTAGTCGCTACGCTCGGACAAAGAGGAGAGGAACTCCCCAAGAAAATAGTAATGACCAAGCTCATTATGACTCTTCCTGATGCTTATAAGCACTTTATTTCGGCGTGGGAATCTGTATCAGAAGCCGAACAAACGTTGGAAAAATTAACTGCTAGGCTGCTTATAGAAGAAGAAAGAATGAATGCACAAGAAGGAACAGTAGCCCTGGCTGCAAGAAAGTCGAGTACAGTTAACACCAATATAAGAAGAACAAGTCAGTACAGAAATTCTACGTGTGAAAATTGTGGAATTCCAGGCCATGCTAAACAAGACTGCAGGAAAAGGATTCAAGTCAAACAGTGTAATTACTGCAAGAAAAAAGGGCATTGGCTGGCTGACTGCTGGTATAGAAAGAAGAAAAATCAAGGTGGAAACTCAAACAGACAAGAGAACCAGACAAGTTCAACTAGCCAAGACAATATAGCAGTCATGAGTGTAAACTCCCATCCAGTCAACACTGCTTGGTATTTAGATAGTGGAGCCACACAGCACATATGCAAAAATATCAACATGTTCGACACCTACTCCGAACTCAAGATACAAAAAGAGGTGAAGATAGGAGACGGAAAACCACTCAAGGCAATTGGAGTGGGTACAGATAATGTTAAGTCATACACGGGTACTGAATATACAGTGCGTACAATCAAGTGCGCGCCGCGGCTGCAATTTGCCGTGAGTCATACCACCGCAGAACGGATGCAGTCGCGGGGAG